ATTTGATTTAATGAAAGACTGAGTCAAACAGGAAGCTCTTCAGCATTGTTTTAAAAGTACAGAGATTTGTAGTGAACCTGCAGTTCTCTGGGAGTTTATTTCACTAAACCGAACGCTGCCTCTTCAGGGGACAGAGAGCCGACCTGAGAGCTCTGAATGGTTCACACCATAGCAGCAGGGCAGAAATGTTGTTTGGCCCTAAAATGCTTTACAAACCAGCAAACAACTGATAACTTTTACCAACATTACATCACATATAAAACACTTGTTTCGAGCCATGTTTTAACTTGAACATTGTAAATATGTTATTTCATTCAGACAACAGGCAATTTGAAGATATCACATGGATCGGTGGCAAATGTAATGGGTGTTTTTTTTTTTTTCATTTCATGTCATTCATTGACAAAATGCCAAACAAATAATAGCCAACTTGATAAACCCCACAACCAAACAGTCATCCCAGAAAATCATCAGTCTTCAGTAAACTGAAGGTGGTTTTAATTTTTAATGTGAAAACTCTGAGATTAGACAATTGACTTCAGGCTTCAGTGAACTTCCGACCTCTGGGGTGGGGCTTCTGTTATAAGGTCGTGTCTTGACCGTCAGTGAAGCTCCACCATTTTCCAAACTCACGTGACCGCAGAATCTGCAAAGACTGATGCTTTATATCATCAGTCCGCAACACTTCCCCTCCTGCAGTCACTAGGAAGTGAAAGTGCCGCTTGCCACAGCTATTACAGATAGTTATTTCTACGACCTTCTAGAATGAGCTTTTACCATCTGTTGGTAAAGAGCAGGTAAGAACATGGGTATTTCGGTTGGCACAAATACAGTATATCCTCACCTCTCCCTTTAAACAAGAGGCAACCTGTTATACAACAATGCAACCACAACGTCAGGGGCGTGGCAGGGGTAGCTGTGTCTCTGCTCCTTGTATTACACATGCACTGTTTTCTCTTTTGTGTAACATTTGTACATTACACGTTTGGGAGAAGCTCAGTGAAAATGTTCCAGAAGAAGCAACGAGCCAGGACTGACTGAATGAAAGATACTGAGGATGCTCGGGGTTCTCAGAAGACACAGCGGGATGGGACTGTTCCCTGGGCTGCTCTGCCATGTGTATGTATCTGTGACATTGTCCTTTGAGAGGAAGTCAATTTAAACCTTGTGAGATAATAATTGGTCACGTTCATGTTGAGGTCACCATGCGAATCAATTTGATGTCCTGGTTACAGGGTTTTAGGTCAACCAAGGACACTTACGAAACAAAACAGTGTTTGTGTTATCTCTTCCTGGAAAACATACATTTAAAATCAAATTTCAACACACTTTATGTTTCGATTTGTTCATCTGTTGTAATGCTGAATGCATTTGATAAAACTTTTCATTCTTTTCTCTGAGTGTCCAGAAGGTAACACTTTGGGAAGGTCACATTATTCCATCACAGGAGGAAGGATACAACCAAACATTTTCATTTCATCTTTCTTTTCTATTTTCTTTAATAATCAAATGATAACTTGACACTAGCAGAGAGGCCTATTCACACTGGAGAAGCTGATACCAGTATGTTTTTTTCTTTCTTAAAATGCCTTTAACCAGTGATGGTTGTATTTCCATTCACTGTTTGATTACATTTAGGCAACAAATCAACTTTGTTATATTTTTTAGAAAGGATCAGGTCAGGTTAAAATCACAGACTGTCTATAAAGATGGAGGACATGACTGCACCCCAAAAGTGAAGCCAAAGCATCTTGGTCTCCACCTGGTGGCTGGCTGCAGTATAGGTCCCAAGTCTTTGTCACTGGTCAGTTTGGTTTAAAATAGTTATTTGAAACCACGAAATCTCCATATAACTGTTGAACCTAAGTCACATGTGGAGACAGTGATTGGTGGAAGACAAAGTGAAACTCAGCTGTTGAACACAGTTTGAATGATGGCAAAATATCTAATATAATATCTAATATAATATCTAAAAATGTTTGAAGAATAATGTAAACTCTGCAGAAAAAGCAGAGACACTTTTGAATAACTTGATAACTTGAGGTACTGTGGTTTTAATGCTGTAGCATTTTATTTACAGTATTTCATTTATACATTTATACTTGGTTGAGTTGTTGTCTCTGAACGCGCTGTTCAATAAAGTTGTTTTAGGGGAAAGTATCCAGCCAATAGGATTGCTGTCTCTCGTGTCCTCCCGTCACGTGTCGCCGGCAGAATGGCCGCCGTGCTGTAGCTTCAGGAGACGCTGCTGAAACTCAAGAAGAAAAGTTTGGAGGAAACATGGCGGCGGTGTTTTTCCTGAGACAGTCTCTGAGCAGACTTCCTCCGGCCGCGGCCCGACAGCTGCTCCGCTGTCGGTACCACACCGAGAGAGGAGTCTACGGCTACCGACCCAAACACCCCGAGCACGAGCCCCACAGCGCCGCGCCGAACCAAGGTCAGTGAGGGGCTCATCCACTGCAGGAGGTGTCTTCATCACCTGCGAGGAAGAGGAGGCCGCTCTGTAATGATCCATGTGTCTGACTGAAACACGTGTCTTCATTCTTGTTTGTCATGTCCTTCAGTGAGAACTTTACTGTCTCATTGCTCTGTAAACATGTCATTCATTCACTCAGATTGCTGCTGCTACTACTACTACTGTTGTTGTTGTTGTTGTTGTTGTTGTTGTTGCTGTTGTTGTTGTTGTTGTTGCTGCCACTTTGACACAGACAGCCTCTCACTCTGTGCTCAGATCATGGCGTTGCCCGGCTGGTGGACTCTTACAGAGCTCATGGACACAAGGCTGCTAAAATTAACCCTCTGCTGCCTGTTTCTGAAAGTGTCCCCGAGATCAACATCCTGAGCAGCACCTTGACAGGACAACTCAACACCTCAGGTAAACAACAGCTGCGGATGGACAGCTGCAGAAGACACTCAACCCAGTAGGATGATGACAATCCTACCTGTAATTCACTCCAAGTTTTGTTTCCTCGAGGCCTAAAGGGTCAGAGCCTCTGTATGAAGGGACATCTAATGTCAGGATTAGTGTTTGAGTGTTGGATGGCAGAGAAGGTGCTGCACATAGATGCACTGTGTGTGGCTGTCAATTCTGTACTGTGAAGCCCTTTGAGTGGTCATCAGTACTAGAAAAGTTCTTTAGAAATACAGACCATGTCATCCTTTGGAAAGCCAATTAAATAGCTTCAAAGAGACACAGAATGAGCATAAGGAGACACAAAACAACCACAGAAAGACACAAGATGACACAAAGCAACCAGAGAGACATCAAATGACAACAACCAGTTAGGAAGACCACTAAATTACACTAAACATAGCAAGTTATCACAAAAAGACAGAAGACACAAA